CAACTCTCTCTACAATACGCAATTAAACAGAGCTCAACACCAGAGAACCCAGCACACAACTGCATTTTTAAAACAAACCCAGGAACCATAAACAAATTCCCAAATAACGAAAAACTCATCAAACCCTTCAGCCTCAGAATCCTTTAGGACCTCAAAAACATAGATCTACACTTTTCCAAATAAGACATCCAACTTCTTTTCCCTGACCTCCTTCCATGGCACCTCACAAAGGCAAAAGTAGACTTACAGCTGACCACACACGACAAAGCAAGCACAAACACCAGAATACAAAAAACTTATAGAAAAATACCCCGGTGCGGAGCTAATCTTCACAGATGGCTCTGCTGCCCTAACCCCAAACAGTAATACCAGAGGAGACTCCATCCCGAAGCCTCCATTTTCTCTGCGGAGCCCACTGCCATTGACATGGCACTGGACTCCGTAGAAAATTCTCCTAACAAATCTTTCCTTATCCTTTCTGACTCTCTGTCTTGCATCACCTCACTCACAAACTACACACTCTTACACCCAAAAATAGTTAGGTTACAACAACAAAAACATGCTTTGACTGAAATCAGGAAAAATATGTGAGGCAGCTTGGTGGAATCAGGCGCTCGTCAAAATAATGAAATTGAAGAAACTAAAAAATTTTATCGAATTTTTGTTTTTTGACTTAACACCATTCTTATCCAATCAAGAACATATTTCTGGGTGGATTTTATTGAAAAACTTTGATTAAAGGCACAAAAAATGTAAGTTTTCAGTGTTCAAGGGCTATCAAGCTATGGAAAAGACCAAAGTTTTGGGGCAATTTTCTTACTAATTGTACCTTTGAAAACAGACGACCCCACCTTCTTCAATCTTAAATATCTTGACTTCTATTCAAGATAGATGGGAATTTTATTCCCCGATAGCAAGACAATTGAACAAGCTTTAAGATGATACCAATAACTCCACACGCCCAAAAACTGATGAGCGCCTGATTCCACCACGTGGTGACACATATGGTGTTCTCATGGCTACCTAGCCATATGGTCATTCCGAGGAAACAAGCAAGTGGACCTCCTGGTGAAGGAATCCTTGTCCCTTCTGTTGGGATCAACGACGAACACTCTCCCATGGACTGACTTTAAAAATAAAGTAAAAAACTACACCTCCAATCTGTGGGAGACACGTTGGAAGAAACAAATAAATAATAAACTACACAACATTAACCCCAAACTGGGTCCACGAAAACCTTCAGGTTTCTCCAGAAGAGACGAAGTCATTTTTACTTGATTACGTGTTGGACACACGTCCCTGACACGTAAATACCTCCTTCAGGGAGATGAGAAGCCGCCGTTCTGTGTCAGTTGCGACACAGATTTTACCATTAGACACATTTTAACAGAATGTTTAGACTTTGGAGAGACCCGAAGAAAATATTTTAGGTGCAAAAAATTGCAAGGTCTGTTTTCCGTTGTTGATCCATAAAGAATTCTTGATTTTATAAAGGCCTTTACGGAAAATTGTACTTATACGGATATTTTACCTCAAATTTTGTAACATTTTAAAATCTGATCGTTGACCCAAGCCAGGCCGTGCAGTGAACTGGTGTGAATGAAACCTACTAGATCTAGTGTTTCACACGCTCATATGACCTTTTAATGCAGTTGCGAGTGCCGTAAGTCTCTTACTTAGACAAATGAATTTTTAATTTTGCTCTGGTGGCGGCTGAAGCCTACTCTTATTGATTTTAGGTCCACCAAGGGATTTTTAAGGTGCGCAACTTGCACTGGAGACCTCCGAGATTTTTCACCCTTATTTGAGAAGGCTAGGTGTTAGATCTTACCTACTATAAGTTTAGGGATGTAGCTGAAAGACAGCAGTAAGAAGGAGCCAAGGAGTAGCAGTAGAAAGACTGCAAAAAGAATCGGGAGCACAGAGGAGGGGGCAAAAGGGGTTGGGGGAGGGGACGGGAAGAAAGTGGAGACAAAAGCAGATGGCAGAACATGGTTAAAGAGCAGGAAAGGAGGTGAAAGAAGGAAATTTTAGAGAAGAAAATATTTAGTTGCTATCAGGTTTTGAACCCGTGATGCTGTTGAAGAAGAGGCGAACACCGTATCTCTAGACCACAGGAACTACCAGTCAGGTTTAAGGTGTGTAGGTGGACGGAGGTTCCACTTTTGTTCTTTTTCCTCCCTTGTTTCTCTCTGTCTTTATTATTTCCCTGCTCTAAAAGATTATCATATTGATTCTTCTACATGAATATGTTGTCTTGTCACTGACAGGAATCCCCTTGCCTCAAAGTCTGAGAGTACAGATGTTGAAGACAGAAAGGAAAAGACAGCATCCACATTCAAACCGCGGAACGTCAGTGCAGCTCACAACCTCAACTCAGCATCTACTTTGAAAAGTCCTCATTTTCAATCAGCTTGGACATGTGGATCTTCTTCAAGATTCCTCTCTCCAGGATCTGGACAAAGCCTCCCCGCACACAACTTGAGCACTTCGTGGAAGACTTACCCTGACAGAGGTGGAGGAGGTACATCAAGTACTGGCCAGATGAACTCTGTTGTTGCAGCCAGGGAATCTCTGTCTGAACAGAGCAGCACAATGCCCAGTGGTGCTGATGACTGCCTGTTTGACATGGATGATGAAGAGGAGAATCGTTCACTTTGTGAACTGACAGACAGTTTGGTTGAAGAACTGAACAAGACAGACCCAAGTAAAGTTGTGGCTCTTGACTGTGAGACATCATCTAGTTGTAAATTACAAACCAATGACTCAAAGTGGGTGGAACATGAGGGGAGAGCAAAGTCTGGCCTTGTGAGGGAAGAGAAAAAAGCTGATGCAGAGATGTCGGCTGGTTGTACTACTTCCTCTATAGGGGCAGCTCCAAGTGACAAGACTGGGTTGCCTGCTCAAGCTCGCAAAAGGCCGAAGAAATTGTCCAGGTTAAGTCTAAGGAAAAACATTCAGCTTCCTCAGAGAGATCATTGACTGGGAATATGCTCAAAGGATGGAAGCTCAAGGTCTCTCCAGGAGTCTGTGTGGAATCCCTGTGTGAACTGAGATAGAAAATAGGATGTGTCTTTTTGTGCTTTCAATTTTTGAGAAAAGCGTCTCTCTCTCTCTCTCTCTCTCTCTCTCTCTCTCTCTCTCTCTCTCTCTCTTTCTCTCTCTCTCATGTACTGGCACACAAATACACAAACTCATGCACACACATGAGAACATACAATCTTTCTCTCTTTCTCTCTCTCTCTCTCTCTCTCTCTTTTTGTCTCTCTGTCATTCTTTTCTCTCCTCTCTCCATCTTCCCTCTCCCCTTCCTCTCTCTCCATCTTCCCTCTCCCCTTCCTCTCTCTCCATCTTCCCTCTCCCCTTCCTCTCTCTCCATCTATCTCTCTCTTTTTCTAACACAAACTCCTTCTCTCACTCCCCATCTTCTCTCTCTGTGAGCATAATATAAGAAAAAAATAAGGGACCTAGAAGTCTTTTTGCAGTGTATGTTTTTCGCCTAGACTATGCCAAGGATATGGGGATGGATGTGGGTGAATACCAGTTGAGAGGTAGATGTAGATGGAAAGTGCTCCAAAGTCATGGACTGGCTGGTACATGTACCGGGTCACTGACTAGCTTCTGGGAACGGGGTGGATGCCGCAGGAGAGAGACGAGACATTGGTCAGGAGGGGATTCTTCTTCTGTTCACTCGCCTCATTTGTCTCTCTTCTGTTTCCTGGTTTCGAATAGAGGTTCATAAAGTCATTTTGAAACTTTTAGAAAATATAAGTTTACCCTAAATTGGACCGCTCTCAGGTCCGTAATTATGAGATTGTGGGTTCTGTTAATTAAATGAATTTTCTGTTTAGCTCGGTCCTGTCTGAAATGGACTTGGAGGTCCCGCCTCTGAAATAACCTACTAGTATTGATAGGGGCATTAAACGTTTCCTGTTTCACATTTCTATATTGGACTCAGTTTGGGTCATATTTAAAGGTGGGTCAGTGGATCATTTAGTCTCTTTGTCAGGACACAAGACTAATAGGAACATGATTGAGCCCATCTAATGTTTTGGTAAAGGTCAGAGTGGATTGTATTTTGTTCCTTCTTTCTATTCAACTGTAAAGGAAAGAGAAAGATTACTCTAGTGTTTTGGAGAATATTGTCGTGCTGTATATTAATCATCTGTCTTCTAAAGAATAGTTTTGTGTTTGTGTATATATATATTATATATTTATCATGTGTGATCTAGAGAATATTTTTGTGTTGTGTGTATTCATCATGTGTGTCTTCTAAAGAATATTTTTGTGTTTGTGTATATATATATATATATATATATAATTATCATGTGTGTTGTAAAGAATATTTCTGTGTTGTGTGTATTCATCATGTGTGTTGTAAAGAATATTTCTGTGTTGTGTGTATTCATCATGTGTGGTCTAAAGAATATTTCTGTATTGTGTGTATTCGTCATGTGTGTTCTAAAGAATATTTCTGTGTTGTGTGTATTCGTCATGTGTGTTCTAAAGAATATTTCTGTGTTGTGTGTATTCGTCATGTGTGTTCTAAAGAATATTTCTGTGTTGTGTGTATTCGTCATGTATGTTCTAAAGAATATTTCTGTGTTGTGTGTATTCGTCATGTGTGTTCTAAAGAATATTTATGTATTGTGTATATTCGTCATGTGTGTTCTAAAGAACATGTTTGGCATCGTGATGAAATCATGCACTTGTCATAATAAGGAAATTGAAGAAACCCAACATATTTCTCCCTGATGGGCAGTTTCAATTGATAATTGTTTATTTTTCCTAGTAGAGTCAGCACCTGTTACCCCCTCTTTAAAGCACATTTCTGGGTGAAAGTTTCGGGAACATGTTACCCCCTCTTTAAAGCACATTTCTGGGTGAATGTTTCGGGAACATGTTACCCCCTCTTTAAAGCACATTTCTGGGTGAAAGTTTCGGGAACATGTTACCCCCTCTTTAAAGCACATTTCTGGATGAATGTTTCGGGAACATGTTCGGGAAAGGCACAAAACAAGTACAGTGCAGTTTCCAAGGGCACTGGAGCTTTGGAACTGACCAAACTTTGAGGGTCATTTTATTGCTAATTTTACCTCTGAGGCCAGGTGATCCCGACCCCCACTTTCTACAATTGCAAATATCTGGACTTCTGTTAGAGAATAATATTTGTTTTTCATTAAAACAAGACAAATGAACAAGCTGTTAGATTGTACCAATGAATCAATATGCCCAAAATTTGACGAGAATTTGACTTCACTGTGTTGTGTCACATATTCTTGTGATGTACCGTAAATATTTTCATGTGTTTTCTAAAGAATATCAGTGTGTCTTAGTCGTATATATATATATATATATAAATACTTTATCATGTGTGTTGCAATGTTGTTGTGTTGTGTAGACAGTAGTCCCCGGCTCTAACAGGATGGCCGGGATTGCTGTGATGTGATGACCCTGATATAGACAGGGGTCACATTTCCATACCCTGTAACTAATGATTAACCAATAGGATTGTTTTTCTTACACACAGATTACTCACTGCCAATTTATCACTTGTTTCTCTCTTATTTCCCACTGATATTGTCTGCTCCTCATCCTCATCTTTGTTTTCTGGAACCTTACTCTCATGGGCGTTGACTGGACATCATTTGAGGTAGCTTTATGAAAAATGTCAATAATGATTTTTAAAATTTAGCACTCATCGTACTTGACAGCAGGTTCTATGTGCTGTGCAACTATTGGATGGAAATCAAACAGGCTGACCACTGTTGGGAAAAAGAACATGCATAGATCTGCAGTAGATCAAATAGGCCTACCCAGTGCCTACATTTTGCCCCGTCGTGTTCCCATTACAAGTGTGGCCACCCCATGGGGAGATAATGTGATGATGGGATGCCAGACCTAGGGCAGGCTAACACACTTGAGTTGCTCACTGGAAAATCTGCACTACACCAAAGTTCCTCCAGCTTTCCCCTCCCTCCCCGGCACAGTGGTATGACTCACCATGAAGTGTGTAACACCTGTACAATCTACTGAAGTCTCTTGTGGGTTATATAGGTACATTACACCATGGATGTTGTTGGGGGGGGGGGTTTGGGGGGGGGGGGGGATGATTGTCCTTTCCTGTCCAGTTATTTGAGGATTTTGTCAGTGGTTTGACCACATTTTGTCGCTTTTAAGGACAGATTTCGGGGGGGGGTTTAAATCTTGAACTACAACAAAAGTGGGCATTGCCCTACCTATGGGAGAAGTTTGGTTTCATTTGTGTGTATATTATTTGTTTGATTATAGAGAAAACTCTCCTTGTATTTTAAAGAAACTAAACAAGGGGCAAAAACTTTTCCTTCGATTTTCTCAAAACAGCATTTTTTGGGATAGCCCCCTTGTGCTTAAAAGCGACCATTTACAGAGGAGCATGCCTATTCCAAATGCCTGCTTGCATGCCATAAACAGACTTTTTACTTTTACTTTATAAAAGATCGTGTTTGATGTTTTACTATAAGCCTGTTATAGCAGGAATCCAGTTAATATTATCAAAACTGTTGTAAGTGGGTCCCTCTGACTTGATCCTGTGTGTTCTAATGAATGTTCTTGTGTTGTATGTATTCATCATGCTGCTTGCCGAGTCAGTAGAGTTACTTTCCATCCCCACCAAAAACCTCATCAAGTCAGGAAGGTTGTTTTCCCTAGATGTTGGACGGTCAGTGTTATTTGACAGAGGTCAACATTTAAATCCAGGTGTACTGCCAACCGCAATTTTTTTGTTATTGCAGGTGGGGGTTTTTATGTGTTGTCGAATGAAAAGGAAATATTTTTATACACATATACAAATGAAATCTTATCAATGCTAAAAAAGTATTTTCCAGTGCATAGATCAGTTTTACTATTAACTGTAACAATTATGATGATGGTGATAATTGTGGCCATTTGTATTATTAATTTCAATTTTAATGTCTACATTCTATACACTAAGATTTCCAGGAGTTTCTGTCCATTTACTTCAATAATTCAACTTGGATTCTGTGTTATTATTACTTTCTCTGTGTATATACCAAATAATTTCTTGATGCCTTATATATAATTTAAATAAGTGGCATCGGTACCCTAGTGGTTAGGCAACTAGACCCATAATTGTGAGATTGTGGGTTCAGGAGTTTGAGCCTAAGCTCAGTCTAAGGTTGTGTCCTTGGGGAAAGGCAGATTACACAAGTCTTCCACTTGTGCAGTCCTTTCGGAGATGGACTTTTAAACTTACGGGCGGTAAACCTCTACAATTTTACCATTTTGAAAATGTATTTATATAGTATTACCGATTTGTTGTTGAGAAACAATGGTCATTTCAGTTTTTACCTCAAGGAAGGCAAAAATAGATCTCCTGTGAACACTGCTCCTTTGTGAGCAGAAGTTTTTGAAAATACTGTGGAGGTCACTTAAACTGAAATGTACGGGACCACCATGATTTTGTTCAGTTTAGCCATGTTTTCTGTTCAAAGAGATTGTTCAAATTGTGGTGATTTTCTACAGTGTAGAGTTGTGAATTCTGTGCTAGCGGAAAATTTAATTTTTGAAAGTTTTTACTCATCTACCTGTCTCTCTCAGTAACTACAATTTGAGCTGCAGTCTGTACACATTGTGCTGTTTATTGGACTGTGTAGACTCACTTAATCTGCCCAACTGTTGTTCAGAACACAAGAAGGAGCAGGGAGCACTGCCCACTCTACTCTGCTCTATGATAATGATAGTATATGCTAGGCTAGACAAGTAGAAAAAGTCAATGCCAGTGACGTCATGAAGCTATCACGGGCTCACGTGGAGTGCCTGTGACTATGTGAATAAGCTTTGCAGAGACAGTATATATTGTAGAGAACCCTGCCAACCGCCGCCAAAAGTGGACTTCTTTCACTTGTGAGACTATGGTAAAATTTATTCTTGCTATAACCGCATAGCAGTTACTGTGTGTCCGTAGTGGGACAGTTCATATTTTTCCATTTATCCATTTTTTATTCAATTTACAGAATATGTCACACACCCCGGGGTGGTGCCACTGACCGAAGTGTCTTTAGGCCATTCCCAAAGGGGGGAACATTTCTTGTTCTTAGGCACAGTAGAATT